GGTTATTTCGGCACATGGTGCTATAAAGTTCTCTGAAGTCTCCTTCGCATATCCTACGAGACCGGCGGTGGCAATCTTCCACAATCTCGACTTTGAAATCCCTTCCGGAAGCAATGTTTGTATTGTCGGGCCATCAGGGGGCGGCAAATCAACAGTTGCTTCCTTGCTTCTGCGCTTTTATAATCCTACTTCAGGAACCATTACCATCAACGGTATCGACATATCCAAGATGAATGTCAAATCACTCCGGCGTCGCATCGGCATGGTCTCTCAAGAACCTGTCTTGTTTTCCGGCACAATCGCTGAGAACATTGCCTATGGGCGGCCGCGAGCAACTCGGACCGAGGTCATCGCGGCGGCTCAGAAGGCAAACTGCGGTTTCATCAGCGACTTCCCAGATGGTTTAGAGACGCAGGTCGGTGCAAGAGGCGCGCAACTGTCAGGGGGGCAGAAGCAGCGTATTGCTATTGCCCGGGCTCTTTTGAAGGACCCGGATATTCTCTTACTCGACGAAGCGACATCTGCTCTCGATGCTGAGTCGGAAACGCTGGTCAACGCAGCGCTCGCCGAGCTGCTCAAGGGCCGGAGCACCACAATCTCAATCGCACACAGACTGTCAACTATCAAGCGATCAGACCAAATCATTGTCCTGTCCAGTGAGGGTACGGTTGCGGAAGTTGGTAGCTATAACGACCTCAGCAGAGACGGAAACAGCGCCTTTAGTAAGCTGATGGAATGGCAGATGAGCGGCGGCGAGGCGCCAGCGGACTATCGACCGCCAGGCGCTGGCATTGAGCATATTACGGAGGTGGAGGAGATTGAGGAGGACCTGGAAGCCGAAGACGAAGAGGAGGTTGCTGGAGTGAAGGAGAAGGAACGGTGATGTAGGATACCGCACGGGACAAACATAACCCATCCAAGGAAGTTGCATGTTTTGCTGCTGTTGCTTGGGCCACATACTTGCCTGTCCTCACATATTGATGAGACAGAGCGAATAATATTGCATCTCGGGAGCATGTCAGGGAGACAGCGCGTCAGAAGCACATGCACATACAGATATAATGTATATAAAACATATCAAGCTCAGGCACTCCACTCAAACACCAATAGACAGGACAGGAGTCAGCAAGTCATTTCTCAAGTATTACGAGTATATCTGTCGTATCTTTATCGCCTCCCGATCTTAGGGAAGAGGGGTTTCGAGGCCAAGTGCTGCATCAAACTCAACACAGTTGGCTCGGTGTAACCTACCTTTTGCCCAAAGGGCTTCAGGACGATAACATGTTCGCTGCTGTAGCGATGGTTTGCCATGCTTCCCCTGCTCTCGTCAGTCGGTCGCGTGACGGTTCAGGAGACCCCCAACTGAATGGCGAAGTGGCTCGACAGCTATTGGCTGCCGTGTCCATCCTCACATGTGTCTAGCGTGGCGGTCGAGAGTGGTTGCAGCAGTGCCACCATGCACGGCGACGACACTGGAAACTTCAGACACAAATTGAACCCCACCTGCTTACCATCGAGGGGCAGCAAGGTGTGGGAAGGGCGATATGGACCCCACTATGCGGGACGCCCTGGAGACTAGGTCTTGACGACCCTGGAACAACCCTGCTGTGGCTGCTTTGCTCACCAGGGCTCTCCGAAATAGGGACTGGACGCGATTCCGGTTGTGACTCGCAGCGGGAGAAGAAAAAAAAGAGGGTGGGCACGATTTCGGCGGACAGGCTTGTGGTACCAGCGGTTGGTTGGTCGGTGCTGTATCCGTACCTGGACCTTTTCTGAGCCTTTGTTTGCTGGCGAAGCCGCGGTGTGTCATCTCCGTCCATCGGGTCCCCGTGGATTTTTGTAGTTTTTTACCTCAATTACCTGCCTACTCTTCTCGACCTACTCACTCCTTTCATCGAGATCCCGCATTGCTTGGCCCGGCTGTCCACTGCTCTGACAAACACCTCCCCTCGCTCAGCTCCTTCTTACCGGGTAGCCCCCTCTGGCTCACCAGCCTTAATAACCCAGGCACCTCCCCTGGATCTTGGACTCATCGCGAACCTAGGATTCATCTGTCTCTCAAATTCGCCCTCTGGCCCCTTCCCCACATATTCCTGCTATTGTTGTCCCGGGAGCTTGCCTACGGCAAACGAGACAAATCCCAAGGATAAAACATCCAATCGACATCGAGACGCTCTTCTCGTTCGCAGAGTCTAGTTTGCTCAGCAAGCTCGGCACCAAGACATTCAAGCCGTATACGGTTCAACCGCGCTGCCGTTTCCGTTTATTTTTCACCCGCCGAGTTCGGCCCGGATTCTTGGATAAGATAAAAACCGTTCGCGTCGGCTCCCTTGCGTGACTCAACTGCACTCCGACATGGCTAGAGCGCTTGTCAAGAACTCCAGCCGTAATGGCTGGATCGTTCAAAAGTTTGGAGGTACGAGCGTGGGCAAGTTCCCTGACAAGATCGCAGAGGATATCATCAGGTATGTCCCATGTCTCGGAGTCTCATGTCTCACGCTGCGGGCGGTGAGGGATGGCCAAATGAAGAACAGCGCTGACGGCACATATCGGGTGGTGCAGAACACATGTCGAGACCCATCGGCTGGTTGTGGTGTGTTCGGCCAGGAGCACAGGCAAGAAGACGTCTGGGACGACCAGCCGGTAAGTTTTGTGGCTTTTTTTCTTCTGTTCGAACCCCCCTCCCCCCCCTTGTCCCCCCGCACTTTCGCAAGGCGACGGGGGTTCAGATCGTGGTGGTCAACGATTTGTCAAGATACCCAGATACGCGCGGGATGGGGGGCTAACTAAAGCGCGGGTCGCTCCTCATCGTAGGCTATTGGAGGTCTTCAGCAGGCTGCGTGCCATAATTGCCGCACCCAGCGATGAAGCATTCCAAGACGATTTGCTGAAAGAAGCCAAGCGCATTGTCCACGAAATCTGCGCTGACCATGTTGACGCTGCGGAGACCTTCATCCGGGACCCCCTACTCAGTGCCCTCCTCAAGGAGGAGACTGAGATGGAGTGTCAACTACTCATTGAGTATCTCGAGGCTGCTAAACGCTTCAAGCTCGAGATCAACTCTCGAGCTAAGGACCGCGTTGTCAGCTTCGGTGAGAAGCTGAGCTGCAGGTTTATGGCCTGCCTGCTCAGGGACAGGGTATGCTTGCCCCTGGTAAACTCGCATGCCCCATTTCCATGCTAACAGTCTCAACAGGGGATAGATGCTGAATATGTTGATTTGGCCGATGCGATGCACACCGAGACCCCAGGTCGTCTCGATATTGCCTTCTACAGGGATGCGGCAGCCGTCATTGAGAAGAAGATCCTGGCCTGCGAAGACCGCGTGCCTGTTGTTACTGGTTTCTTTGGAAATGTACCAGGAAGTCTGCTGGACGGCGATATTGGCCGCGGGTACACTGATCTTTGTGCATCATTGGCAGCCGTAGGTCTCAAGGCGGAAGAGCTTCAGATCTGGAAGGAAGTGGACGGTATCTTCACCGCCGACCCTAGCAAGGTCCCCACTGCGAGGCTCATACCCTCCATCACTCCCTCCGAAGCCGCAGAGTTGACATTTTACGGCTCTGAAGTCATCCACCACTTGACCATGGATCAGGTGATCAAGGCTGTGCCTCCTATCCCGATCCGGATTAAGAACGTCAAGAATCCCCGCGGTGAGGGAACTATCGTAAGGCCGGACCCGCTGCTGGCTCCAGACCAACAGATCCAGAGGTCAAGAAAACCGTCAGACCCAACGCAGCGGAAGAAGCCCAAGAGGCCAACAGCTGTCACCATCAAGGACCAGATCTCCATCATCAACATCCACTCTAACAAGAGGTCAATAGCACACACGTTTCTGGCTCGGGTCTTTGCTATTCTCAACCAGCACCGGGTTTCTGTGGACCTCATCTCAACGAGCGAGGTCCACGTCTCCATCGCAGTCCACATGGGGAACTCGGAAGGGTCCAACTTTGACCGTGCTGTCGAGGACCTCAGGGAGTGTGGTGCAGTCAGTGTTTTGCACCAGATGGCCATTCTGAGTCTGGTGGGAGCCGAAATGAAGAACATGATAGGAATTGCTGGCAAGATGTTCTCGACACTGGGAGAGCACCGGATCAATATTGAAATGATCTCACAAGGTAGGAATCACGCGGTGTTGTTCTTTGAACCTGGGATCGGGGGAGGGACAGAGCTAATAGATTGTGTCACAGGCGCTAGCGAGATCAACATCTCGTGTGTGATTGACGCGCGGAATGCGGAGAGGGCGATGAATATTCTGCACACCAATCTCTTCACTTTCCTCGAGTAGGGGTTGGCTTGGTCGACGGTTACCCCCGAAGCTGAGGAGGGAGATACTGGCACGGGACGGAATGAGCACCATCTTGTTGGGATCTCATTTTTGCGACATCATTTCTGGTTTGCTGATGGAGAGGATTATTTGTGAGCGGCATGATAGACTTTCAAATATATCGTTGCTGGGATGCATGTATGTTCGTGGAGGGGAACTGAGGAGTTACGCCGTGGAGGTTCAGCAAAGTATATACACTTTAATGGAAAAAAGCTACCATACATTTTGGATCATGTGTGATATTTCAAGCCGGGGGCCAGCCGAATCCGTCTACTTCGTATAAGAAACTGAAATATACCTTACCACAGGTAGCGTCTTTTTGGTCTGTAGTAGACATGTCAACAGGTTCCCATCAGTCATCTGTTGCGAGATTTTTTTATGGGTAATCACATGAGTTTGCTACTCAAACTACATGTAAGGCCTAAAGAGTGGTAATAAATGGAACAACACAATAACATTATTTCAGCGATTCTCACCAACGCCCTCCAGAATGGATGTTAAATTCACGGAATAACCACCCTGACGGGAGCTTGCAGTGCAACCAAGACCTGGGTGGAGTAAGGCTATTTGGAAGAGGGCCCATTGCAGATGGAAATTTTCTTCGTCCGAGCCCCTGACTGGACACGAGATATAAGCTGAAAAAATCTGATACAACTTCAACAAAGCGTTAAATGCCCGGCTAGCTCAATCGGTAGAGCGTGAGACTCTTAAGACTCTCGCACAGTCAGGTATCTCAAGGTTGTGGGTTCGACCCCCACGTCGGGCTCAATTCCCGGTGGACACCAACCAATATTTTATTTTTGGTGTTATGGATTCTTGTCTCACTTTTCACCTTGGTAGCGAGGACACGCAAAATCGATGGTGGAAGCGTCGTCCTAGGAAAGACCACAGCCGTAATTTTGTTGATGGCTACAAATGGGGAGGCAGCCACTGCGGTACCTCCAATACATGCCTCTTCGATGTCGCTGTCACGCTGAACTAGAAGCGGTGATCCCAGCCATGCACCACACCGAAGCACTCACATGGTGGGAGCATTGCAGTTTGCTCAAGACTGTGGCGAAACCCCATCTAAACGCTCGGCGTCCCACTGGTCTGAACATAGATACGTTAGATTTTCAATCAGAGCGTGATTGATGTCGCCCCCTTACATATGTGGTAGACTTTAATACGAAATCCTCTTTTAGTCTTCAGCGTCATCAGAGTTGAAGTGTTTAGCTTTTTATTTTCATCACCCTCATGTCACTCACGATTGCCAAGACATTACCGAACGCCACTCAGGCAGCCTTGTCGCCCCGCCTCAGCCTCAAATTTTGATCTGCCGAACACTAACCAACTTTCGTTTGCTCGGCCACGACTTTCATCCTTTCCAACCAGCTACCCATCACCGAAAAGCGGCGTAAGTCCATTCGAAAAACCTACAAGCCGCTCGACTCCGCGCAGGGAATCGCCGTCGCCAAGATGCCGAAAGCAGAAGTCGGATCAACTCGGCACCTGTCGAACCAAATGAAGAGCCGCGGGCTCACGCGATTGAGATGGTACTGCCAAATCTGCGAGAAGGCCTGCCGGGACGACAACGGCTTCAAGATGCACTGCCAGTCGCCGTCGCACATGCAAAAGGCGCTGGACGCCGGGCAAAACTTCAAAAAGGTCGAGGAGTCGTTTAGCGAGGCGTTCCTCTCCGAGTTCGTCTCGCAGCTGAGGACCGGCCACGGCGAGAAGAGCGTGCAGGCGAACCGCTTCTACCAGGAGGTCATCGCGCGCAAGGACCACGTCCATCTCAACTCGACCCGCTGGCACTCGCTGACCGACTTTGTCAAATACCTGGCTAAGGAGAGCATGTGTCGCGTCGAGGAGAAAGAAGGGGAGGGGCTCTTTATCGCCTGGATCGACGACTCGCCCGAGGCCATGCGCCGCCGCGAGGCGGTCCGTCGAAAGGAGATGCAGGACAAGGGCGACGAGGAGCGCGAACAGATGATTTTGCGTGCCCAGATCAAGCGCGCGCAGAAAGATGCTGAGACGCGGGGCGTGGCACTGAACCAGGAAGACGAGGAAGCAAAGGCGCGCGAGCTGAAGAGGGAAGAGGGGGAAAAAGTCAAGTTTACATTCGGAGCGGCGAAATCTACGCCCGCGATATCGACACCTGCAGCGTCATATTTAGGCACAGTAGCGCCAAAGGAGATTGCTGGTCACAGCACGGAGGCGGAGAGCGTCAGCGGCGCAACTTCGGAATCCTCTACGGTACCTGCTGCTGTTGCGGTGGCGCCAGATCCCGAGCCCAAGGAGGAAGTTAGCAAGCCCGTGGAGCCCGTGGAGCCCGTGGAGCCCGTGGCACCAAAGCCGATGTCTATGAAGATTGGGGCCAAGCCTCAGGCCAAGAACGTCTTAAAAAATGCCTTCGCCGGTGCTCCCAAAAAGGTCTGGGCGGCTGAGCCGAAGAAGGTGAGCGAGGCTGAAAGGATCATGAAAGAAGAGATTGAGCGGAAGAGGGCTCGTGAAACTGGAGGTGGGCCGCCGAGCAAGAAAATGAAGTTCCAGTTCTAGGCATGGATTGTGTGTAATTACTGAGCATATGGGTGGCGTTTACGAGTTTCGGGAATATGATACCAAGGTTTGGGTTTATACGCAGAGTCAACGGAGTCAAGCAGCGATAGAGGGCAAAATGGTTTTGCTGATGCGGGGAGTAGCCCCTGAGTATCGAGAGACGCCTAAAAAAACCACGATACCAAACCAAACTCCTCAACTCCTGTCCGAATGCGTAGTCGCTCAGTAACATCGCCCTCGTGAAGCCCATCTAGTCCGCCTCTGTTGCGCTGCCATCACGTCTGTGTCCCGGTATTAGTGCTGTCTGGCAGTCGGCAAGGTTGAAGGAACTTACGGGATGTACTGGATGCGATACTCCTCCTCAATGGTCGTCCGCACGTCGTCAGGCAACTGGCCTGAGACTTTGGTTGCGTATACGCCTCTCACGTAGGTGTCGAGTCTTTGCCACTTTGCGACCCAGGACCTCGCTGGGTTGGCAAGCGAGATGAGACCCTCAAAGACCTGTGACGTGCAGCTCTCGATCTGGTCCTGAGAGCCCTGGAGGTGGAGGAACTCCTCGCAGTTAGGGCAGCCCTCGTCTCTGAAACGCTGGATTCTGGTGTGAGCTGTACGTAACATCAGATAGGAAAAAGAGAAGCACGTACGGCAAAGGTCATGACGATGGAGCAGACCATGCAGGCGCGCAGGTAGCGCTGGTGGCCGGGTGCAACGAAGCTTTCTGACATTATTTCTACTTTTCTTGGTGGTCAAGAGTGAAAAATTCGGTAGTTGACAAGTTAAGGTGTGTCGTTGCGATGGCTTGTCGGCTGGTTACCTGTGTGCTTTGTGGCAGTTTTGGTCTAGTTCTTTGTGAAAGCGGGTTTGGATGCTTGAATGAGGCTGATGGTTGAGAAGACCGTGTATAAACCAGGGGAACGCTAACGTTCAAATAGGAGAACCGTGAGCGTAAGGCAAGCTGTGCTCGCCAGTCCCCTGTAGGGGTGGCACGGGCCAGGAGCTGCCCATGGTTTGGCACTTGCTGGGCCTGGCAAAAGCCTTCCCATTACAGTTTGAACCTTTTGAATTCGGCCTACTCCTTGCTCAACCCACTTTCCCTCCAAGGCGGGACATGCAATGCGCCGACCTTGTCAAGCTTGTCGACTGACTGTTCCACAACATCCCAGCAGGCCGGGTAAAAGATGAACTGCTGATTGTGTTTTTACATTTGCCCTGATTTCGTATCGTGAGCTGCTCTCTAGGCCCGGCATAGAGAGGAAAGAGGAGAGAGGAGAGAGAACGCAGCCCACTCCCAGGCCGATATCGATAATGGGGAACAGCCCCTCCACAAACCGACCCGGCAATCCGTCGTCAGCATCCTCATCCCAGTCTCAAGCACACGGCGGCCATGACTCTCCACGACCGGTGAGGCGCGACAACAGGCACCCCATTCCGGTGCAGAACCACCGTGTCGCCGCACCCCCCGAGCCGTCCCTCACACAGGCCCAAGGCACCGCCGTGCAACCGCCGAGCTACAACCGGCCCAAATCCTTACCGCCGCGGACCGGTCCCTTGCTGAGCAACTCGCCTGCCACATCTATGGCACCCCCGAGCTCCATCAGCTCCTCCCGGCCTGTTGAAGTAAAACCGGCCAAACCCGAACCTAGCCTTGAGCCCGCCAAGCCCGTCGCGGTGCCGAACTCGCACTCGCATAACCCGCCCGCGTCGCCGAGATCGCCGAGACGAGACAGCTACGAAGGCAGCACAACAGTTCCGATCAGCAGCTTACAGGACCTATCCTACCTCACACGTCCACCTCGTCTACCCCTCCCCATTGAGGAAGAGGTCCACACCCCCGGGTCGCCTATTATCGCACCGACCGATCTTGGCCGGCCGCTCGAGGACATAGAAGGGCTAGACTCTGGGCTACCGCGGCGAGTCTCAAATCTCAGCGATAGCTCCGCCGTCGACGACGGCGTCGTCGATGAACTAATGGTGGACAAGACCCGGCCAACGGTTCCCACAAGACTTGAGTGGCTCCGAGGAGGTGATAAGGTCTACGTCACCGGTACCATATTTCAATGGAACCGTAAGACTCGACTGCATCCAGTGTGAGTGGTCTTATTTACTACTGGAGGATCCGTGAAGCGGATATGGATCAAGCTGAAAGGAAATACGTTGTGGACTTGGATTGGGTGTGATCAAGGTGCTGACGCTGAATTTGCCATAGCGAGGGTCGGCCTGGCGTATTTGCGGCCACTATCAACATTCTTCCCGGGACACACCATGTTCGTTTCCTAGTAGACGGTCAAATGCAGACCTCGCCAGATCTACCGACGACTGTGGATTTCGGTAACAATCTGGTTAACTACATCGAAGTGAACCCAGACGATATTCCCGCCGAGCATGCCGATACATCAGGAGAGCCTAAAGAATCACAGCCTTTGATGCACTCGAAGCCCATCCCATCTGAAGAAGAGGAAGGAAAGAAGCCAAAAGACAGAGAAGTGCCTCCGGCCAGCGTCTTTGCCCACAAAATCCCCAAGTACTTGCTCGACTTTGACCAGCCGGAAGACACACCGCCGTATCACAGTGCCATCTCGGCCATCGATAAGCTTCCAAACCCGCCTGCCCTCCCTGGGTTTCTCGGCAAGCCCGTCCTCAATGCGGCCACGCTCATCAAGGATGACAATAGCGTCCTCAACATGCCGAATCACACGGTGCTCAACCATCTCGCTACCAGCAGCATCAAAAACAACATACTGGCTGTTTCGGCAACGACCAGATATAAGAACAAGGTCTGTTCTCTCTGCCAGGCACATGGTGCGATGCTAGAGTAGCATGACTGACCGTGAGCATAGTATGTAACAACCATCATGTACAAGCCGACTACAGATGGTGCGTAAACCGGAATACTATAGAAATAGCTGCGGATTGAACGTGGAGCTTGGTAGAGAGGGTGTCAGGAGTAACTATTATGAGATCTGAGCCAGCCAGATACTGGATTTACTTGGTCGGAATCTTTGGGTTTGGCGAGCTTGAGCGACGCGACAGGATGGGGTGGAAGATGCGTGGCTAGACTGCGGTGCCGAGGCCCTCGAGAAATATGATGGATGACCCTTGAACTGTGCAGCTCACGAGGGAAGTCGGAATTTGGATGGAGAAATCACTTCCTCCATTTAACAAAGACCTCATCGGTCCTGAAGCGCTGTGTACATGTGCTTTCCTCCAGCAGAGTTTTGAAGCCAG